ATGGCTGCAAAAAAAGCTTGCACAGATCTTTTGATCCTGAAGGTCAACAAGCCTCTGCAATACATGTGTTTGTCCCTTCAGAAGCACTATAATCTGCTTTGCATCACTCTCCTTTTCCCATGCGTTTCTTCTATCTGAACTATCTCTGTCCATTCTGTCTGCGAGCTTAAACCTCCAAGCCTTGTGCACAGTATCTGCAGCACTAAAACTGTGCAGGATCTCTTCAAGGTTGCATTTCCAGCTCAAAAATACAATGCACAGAGGAACTACTGTGAATATACTTACAAGATAAATGGAAATTTGATGTACTAAATTCACTCCCCTTATAAAGACTACATTTCTCACTTCTGCTTGCAATTCAAAGAGCACAGAGACAGTCCCAGACACGGTGGGAAGGAGCAGGGGAACGAGCTAGCACAGGAAGTGTCAGAGAAACTCACAGGCATGCATGTGTGTGGATAGGACAATGGAACTGAATACTAGTACCATTTTCCACATGCTGTGGTGACATGATCTGATACCTTATTCCCAAGAGGTTGAAAGGATGCTGCTAGCCTGTGTGCTGCAATGATGCCTGCTAAGCGACATGGAAAAGTGTCCTACCTTGGCAGAAGAAATAAAACAACTCTTCCCAATAACATTCAGTAAAAGACTACAAACTAGGAAAGTTTGAGAGAGCCACGCAACATCCCAGTACATATAAACAAAACTATTCTGCAGAATTCCCTCTGCCTAACTGTAAAGGGAAATGAAGTGAAAAGCAACTCTGCCTCTACTGGTTGTTTCACTACCTCTTGTAGCTTGATAACACACAAGTAAATGAACAGATGTATCCTGCAATATCAAATCAAACTGCACTCTTGCTTTTTTCCCTTCATAAGACTCTCTCATGGTCTCCATCGTCAACTACGTATTAGTTCGACTGCTCATGAGTCAAAAAGAGCCCATGGCTCTCTGAGTCACTGGATCCAATGGTTTCCAGTCTCCCATTCTCCTCCTCCTTGTCCAACACCTTCTCCTCATAGTTCACTCCAGTAGCCTGTGACTATGAATCCTCCCAAATACCCACAGAGCCCTTGGAGAAGGTGGTGGGATGCAGCTCCTTGTAAAATGGAATGTCTACAAATCTGTATCAGTGACTGTTAGCTACTCTTGCCTAAAGGTGCATCTGCTGCAGGCTCCTTGACTTTCGCATGGCATTGCCGCAAGTCCCTACTGTAACTAGGAATGTAAATATCAATTAAAATAGTCAACCTGTTAAACTATTAAAACTATTACTGTTTAACCATTTGTTGGCTGCCATAAGGCAACTGGGGCAGTGTTCCTGCTGGGTCTCTGAGGCATGGACTGCTTCAGACTAGCTTGCTCATCACATATGGGGCTGGCATGGCTCCGGTGTGGCTATGGCTGGGGTTCCATCTGCTCACTGGGGCTTCTTTGGCACAGTGGTGGCCAAGGTCTCACCTGCCTGCCTGCCATGTTATCACGACCCCACCTGCCGGCCCAGTGCAGCCATTGCTAGGGTCCTGCTGTCCAGCCTAATATAGCAGGAGACGTTCCATCCAGATACAGCTGGTCATCCACTAGGGTTTGGACAAGGTTCAGTTAACAGGTTACCTGGTAAGCATTCCAGTAAGCCGAATGCTTACTGGTTAACCAGTTAACCTTTTACTTCCCTAGTTCTAGCCCTTGTCTCCCAAGACCAAATCAATCTGCTTGTAGATATTGAAATTTCCACAGCTAGGTCAAAGCTGTGTCTTCACAGCTTCTTCTATCCACAGATCCAGGACATCCATCACCTCTAGTGTACTCTAGGCAGGTACACATCTGTAACAGAGCTGGCATGATTGGCCACCTAGGTCCTAAGAGAGCTCTTCACAGTCAGCAAATAGAAAACAATATTTCAAAAATTCGTTAAAAGGACAGGGGCATGTACCTGCATAATTGGCCACTGGGTCACAGAGTTCAAAATGGTGACCAGAGCAACCATAGGTAGAGGGGGAATTCTGAAATAGTGAACAGTTCTTGGATATTACTAAAGTTGACATAAGTGCATGTATAGATTGACGTTGCATTGCCCCAACTATGTCAACCTACGTGTTACGCCTATCGTGCAAGTTATTAAGTCGGCCATGTGATGAAAGCAGAATAATATAATCTAATTTATGAAAAATTCTTTTTCATCTCCATATAAACAACACACGGATCCTGTGGAGATACGTATCTCAGAAACACATAGGATATAGATTTAAGAAACAACTACCACATTAAATGATCCACGACTTTTTTTAAAACTCTTTAATTACATTTAATATTTTTAAATCCAATGCTGGAGGCAGACATCTTGCTAAAAAGAAATGGCACTTACGGCACATGAAATATTAAACTCCTGTTACATAAAGAGGTACTTGAAACAAATATCTAACCTGCTTTAATACTGGTTTAACAAACGGAAGAAAAAAGTAAACCCATATTAAGCAATTATTAAAGAAGTTAAAACTAGTTCACCATCCCTTCTATCATGCTGCCCCATTGTCACAAATGACACCTCTTTCCAGCAAGATGGCAGCCTCCAGCATGAAACACATAAATGTCAATTGTAATACTTAAACATCTTTCGTGGTTTGTCCCTGGTGACAAACATTTCAAGCCACATGCACTGAGAAAAATAAATGCAGGTGTTTTTTTAAGGACTGTTTTTATAAACTATCCATTTTGCCCACTGATGTGTTCTGAAAGTTCACATAACTAATACTACTGCTCACCAAGTAACTGTGACATAGATTTAAAAACAATGATTTGTATTAAAATTGATAGTTTTGAACATCCTGCTAGAGGCTACCATCTTACATAACACAAGACATTATTTGTGACCCCAACATTAGGTTCCAGAATGAGAATGAATAGGACTGTCCCTCTTTTTCTTATCAATTTAAATATCAGAAATAGCACTTCACTCCATGGTTTAAACACTAAACATATTCTGTGATAATAAACCAATATTATTCCAGAAGGAAAATGGTTTTAAAATGTCTTGCTTTGGGCTTTTAAATTGTGGTATAAAAAAAGTGTTTGATCATAACAATTAAGTTACTTTAATTGCAAACTGCTGCATGTATTTTAAAATTCAAGAAAAATATTGCTTTTATAAGCCCAGCACACAAAAATAACAATTTTTTTGGAAGGCCAGTCTTTTTTGTGTAAGATTTTCCACATCAGTGCAATCTAGAGCCTGATGCATTTTATTTTTCATGAGTTAGCTAGCCCATGAAAATAAATTCATCTCAACAGACAGTAAAATGTAAAAATCTTCATGATCTTTTACAGAAACTGATGGAAAAATTATTATCTCATAGTATTTAAATAAAAGACGGTGAACTACTTTAACTTCTTTAATAACATGTCAACTTTGGATATTTCAGGTACCATTTAGATCCTCATTCTTACCAATTCACGATAGACACCTTCATTTTTCCCCTCTGGTTTTGTTATCTTTTCTTTCTGGAACACTTCCCTATTTCGATTTCCTCCAGCACTCACAATAAGATTGCTTCTAGTACTGCCACCACCTCCTCCAAATGTCTTGGTCTTTAGATAAGAAGAAAAAAAAATTCTGTAAACAACACAGTTAAGGAAGTAAACATTAAGATTATGCTACTACCGTAAATCTGAGGTACCTAAATATTTATTGTTATCGTTTATGTATATACAGATAAACTGTTAGCTTCCATAAAACAAATGTCATTTACTAGCTAGAATTTCCTTTCTTTCCTATGTCCGGATGAGGCTGTAAAAAGTTATACAATTTTAATTTTTATGAGTTACTCTGAGGCAAATCATAAAAATAAACTTAAATGGAAAACTGGAAGGAAGACTATAAAATAGCCCAAGGATTAAACATGTTAAGTTTAATAGCAATTCAACAATACCAAACACTAGTCAAAGTTTTTTGGAACTTGGAAATAGTGATTGAATTTAATAACTATATTCATTACCTTAATCCCAGCATCAAAATAACTCCAATACAGGCTGCCTAGTAAGTTAGTTTTCCTTATTCAAATTGTGTGTGCATAAAGCAAAACTGAATTATAAAATTCATGCATATTTTAGCAGACTTGGTTTAGGTCAAAATCAGATCACAATAAAATATCCTATGATTAGCCTATACCACATTACCTCCTTAGAAAAGGGAAAATACACACCACATTTCCAAAAAGGCTCACTGCATTAGATTTCCTTTTTTTAATTTTTTCTTAATACATAGTAGACAAAATAAAATAAGAAAACAGATACTATAAATGCATCTCATATTAAGGAGAAAATAACTTGAAATAACTAAAATAATTACTTCATTATTAAGTAAAATCCTGGAGCAATTGTATATTCTAACCTCTTTGCTCTTTGCTACTTCTGCAATAGCAGCTGTTCTCTGTTTTTCAAATTCATCATTGTCTCCAACAGGTTTAGCAGTGATCATCATTTGTAGAGTCTTTCTCCGATCAAGTTCCTTGCTATCCACTTGCACAGAAGACACACATTTCTGTGACACAAAAAGCATTATTACGTAAATTTACTCTCTCCTTTCTGTTTTTAGTTAAACAAAACACTCATAATTCATTAAAGCAATAACTTTTTAAAAAAGTGAATCTCAAAAAATATACAGCTAGGACAACTAAAAATATTGGTTCACGGCATCTCTCTGGTCCATAGAACAAAATGGCCTTCAAACTAGAGGAGGAGGGGATCAAAAGTTTGGCACATACTCTTACCCTTCAAGGATGGCAGATTCAGTTGCCAGTGAAATGTGGCAAGAAAGATTAGAAGGGGAAATTTTCAAAAGACAAAGTTAACATTTTTTTACTTGGCACACTAGTACTACACACAAATTCATTAAGTAACCCACTAAATAAAAATCATCATGAGGGGTATTAAACTCTCTTCAGTATGATTTGGGAATGCACAACACTTGTACAATGTTAGAAGCATTTAAACTTAAGTTTGCATATTCTGACTTAGATGCACACTAAGGATGGTAAGAGGTGGATAATTGACTAATCATGTAGTCGATACAATTTGTGAATAAGGGAAGGGCTCTGTCCCAGCTTGCGCTGGTCCAGGAGCTACCCACATTGTGACTCTACAGTTTAAATGTAGTAGGAGCCAGGCACACAAACTTCTACTACATTTTAACTGCAGAGTAGCACCAGGGGTGGGCCCTGGACCAGCACGAGCCAGGTCAGAGCCAGAACTACATACATCTTACTACTTTTAAAAGGCAGAAACACAGCAGTCCTGGACCGGCAAGAGCTGAGACTGAGCCGGGCTTGCCTGACCCCAGCTCACACCAAGTTCAGCAACCCTGTCTGCAGGAGTGTCCTACCAGGAAGCTGTGACCACCAACAAATACGGGATGCTGCCAGATCAGCCTCTGTCCATGGCGAGCCCAGGCTGCCATAAACAGGGGCTGCTCTGCAGCATCCCCTATCTGCA